CACATTACGTTGTAATCACTTTTCTATCACACTGCCAACGCGTACTTTTATACTACATTGACATTTTGCTCATATTTTGTTCTTAAAAGACTTAAGGCTTATATTTTGGCATTTTCATACTTTTTTCACTCATATCTAGGTAAGTTTCTTTTATTAAATACTCACTCCGTTCCTTTAAACACTTCCCATTTTGATATTGGGCCAAAATAAGGAAAGTGTAATTTTGGTTGACTTTCCAATTTTGTCCCTGATGTGATGTATAAAAGTAAGATGTGATATCTTGGTTATCAACTTTGTCCCTGTTCAACGAATATAATTGTCATTATAAAAATAAAGCACATTCAATAAAATTGTGCAAAAAAATAAGAAAAATAAAATGAAACTAAAGTATTATTAAATTTAATTCATGGCATAACTATGGTTTTAGAAACGTAATACGGAGTATGACTAATTAACACTCCGTAATAATAATGGTTCATTTTTTGGATTTTTTTTGGGCATAAGTAGTACCGCATATCATGATTGTAAGATCATATTACCTTCCCAATTATACATCATTTCGTTCTTTAATATAGAAGCACATGCATAAAGAATCATGCATATATATGAATCAATATATTAATCTGAATTATTAAGATTATAGCTAGACACCTGAACCATACCTGACCGCATCAGTGCTTTATTTCTTTTATAATTATACTACTCCGGGTAATATACATCTGTCCTAAATTGTAACCCATATTTCGAATAACATGTATAATATCATTTTTTTAAAAATTGTTTTAATTACAAATTTGTAGAGATTATATAAAGTATAAATTACATTGTTCAATCAAAAGTTCTAGAAAGATGATGATCCAATTCAAGCTATTTGCAAGATCCTGCGATTTTGGCTCCAATCTTGCATATCTTGATTCTATAAATGAATAAATGACATCAATGATTCGAAATGAGGAATCACACACGTATCTTAGTTCTGACAAGATCGTTAATTTGGACTCTAATTTAAATTTTTTCAGTGACATACATGCTCTTGAGTTCTAAAATAAGATTCGAGCGTCCGGAGTACCAAATCATGAGCTCATTTTAAAGAGAGGCACTCCCATCATGTTGCTTAGAAACATTGATCATTCGATGGATTTGTGTTGTGATACACGATTGATATTAACTCAATTGGCAAATCATTCAATACAATGGAATATATTGTCTCGAACACACATGAGTCAAGAAGTTGTTATTCCAAGACTATCACTGAAATCATCAGATGAAAGAATATCATTCGAGTTTCAAAGACGACAATATCCTGTGGTTACTTCATATGCAATGACAATAAATAAGATTCAAGGCCATTCATTAAAACATGTTGGATTATTATTACGGAAACCGATCGGGATGTTTAGTCATGAATAATTATATGTTGCGGTTTCAAGAATAACAAATTTTAATGACTTGAAGATTCTTATTGACGATGTAGAGTATGTTTCTACAAGATGTATCACTAATGTAGTTTATAAAAAAGTTTTTCAAATTTTGTAATTTATATGATATTTATGTGTTACATGATGAAAGACATTATATTTTATTATGTGGTGTGTGTACTTATTTACTTTTATAGTGATGCCAACATAAATTTATAATGTTAATATGAACCGTGCAATGCATGAGTGTGATACTAATATCTAGGCTTAGATGATGGGTAATAAAGCAAAAGTAAAGTGAGAGTCATACTTTTTAATCAATTTACTTTTTAATCAATTTAAAAATGCATATATAGTTAGAGAGTGATAACTGATAAGTGATTCACATTGCATGCCGTATATTTTTACATGGAGTAATATTTTACATTTTTTTTATATATTTTAATTATTAAAAATTAAAATATAATTACCATTAAAAATACAAACGTAATTATGTAAACATAAAAAATGTATTTTAATAATTTTTAGAAAAAAAAAGAAAAAAATAATATGAAGTAAAAATCTTACTTACCTTGATGGCGGCTTGACACACCCATGACAGTACGGTTTGTAGAAGAGTAATTTACTTAAATACGACTAAAACATAACGACTTTCTCAATACAAGACCATATATATTTTTTCAATATAGGACCATTGATCATTATTAATTAATCATTATTCAAGTAAATGTCCTCCATATATCACTGGACATTATTTCTTTCCCAAAACATTATTAAGTCTGATCCTATTTAGGGAATAAAAAAGTTCAAGTTCTATATTCACAAATGACTTATGTTTAGTCCTTTTAGTACAAAAATTTCTTTGTAGAATGAAATACTTATCCATTCCATGCCAATCATGCTAATTAATGAGGTGACAGCATATGGGGAAACCGTAGCAGGCACTTGTCTCGCCCGTTGCTCAACTTAATGACGCACAAAGAGTCAATGCTTCTACCTACGTTAGGACTCAAACCGGAGTAAACTTTTCCATGAATCCTAAGGAATGGACTTACTACCCCTCAAGTCAGGGAAAGGTTCATATATGATTATTCATTATTAGTACTTACTATTAATACTCCCTCCGTCCCTAAATAAAGTTCCATTTTTGACTTTTTGAGGATTTAAGGGAGGGATATTTTTGTGTTGAGTTTCCAAAAAATACCCTTGATGTGATGTGTAAAAGTAAGATGTGGTAGGTAGATTATTAGTAAAAAGGTATGATGTGATAGGTAGGGTATGAAAAAGTAAGGGGTAAAAGGGGTTTTTTAAGGGAAAAGAGAAGTTTATTTAGGGACAGAGAAAAAACGAAAGAGGAACTTTATTTAGGGACGGGGGGAGTATTATGTGTTTTCCTAACTCTCGCGTTAGCATAATTATGACTCAAAATTCTTGTATTATTGAAATTCTCTTTGTATTCCCTATATAGAGAGTAGTTAACCTCGTGAACATTGTGGCCGAGCTCGATTCATGACGAATGTAAATGAGTATATATAATTTGATGACAATAATTAGTGAATGTTATTGATTAATGAAACACAAATGCTCGTACTAATTAATTAAGTACAAATGAAATTTCGGGGCGGGGTGTGATCTGAGGGCGCTCGGGATGGGCGTTTCATCTTTTTTTCACACAAATATTGAAATTCAAATAAAGTAAAATCGTAAATATTCATTCAATGTGATTTTCCATTTCCTTGTATGCAAAAATTGCCACTCCCCTGTTAAATATAAATATAACCACATTCATGCATGCATGCCAATAATACTCATAGTTAATCATCGCAAGCTAGGCCATTGATCACCATCGTCAAGATTCAAGATGATGATGTGCTCAAGATCCTTTTTCATTCTCCCAGTCACCACCATCATCATCTCTTGTGCAATAATGGCGCCGCATCTACAGACTGCCAGTGCCAACCCCAAGAAGGTCGTACGGATTCTGGACTCGATCCCGACCAACAACCCGGTCCAGCCCATGAAGCCACTGCTCGTGCATTGCAAATCCAAAGACACTGATCTAGGAGCGTGGGCGATGAACGAGAATGACGAGCGCGAATTCCACTTCAGGGTCAATATCTGGGGGACAACTTTGTTCTGGTGTGAGTTCAACTGGGGTGTCAAGGCCCGAGACGTCGTCGTATTCAACGCCCAAGAAGGCCAGTGCGGGGGTGAGAGGTACTGCAATTGGATTGTGAAGACCGACGGGTTTTACTTTGCCAAAGGAGAGTCTCCTAAGGACTCCGATTTTGTGCGCCAACTAGGTTGGGCGGACCTAATATTAGACTAGTTATATGAATAATAGATGTATTAGGAATAAAATATTACTCCGTATTATTCATTATCTTCCTTATTACTTACTAATTGTATTGTTACTATAATTTTTCTCCGATTCAATAAGACCAATTATTATCAAATTGTATCACTAATAATAATAAAGGAGTATTGTTAGAGTGTCTAAGCTGTTGAGTTGAACTAACTAATCGATTGGATTCAATCTTTTAATGTGGTTAAACCCTAGTGTCTTATTGCTCAATCCAGTTGTCCATACCTCATCCCAAATTCTATCAAGTATAAATGCCAATATCTCAAGTATCATTTCAATTTTTGATGTATTTTTTTAAATATGTAAGTTTTATATATTTTTTATTTTTATTATAATACTTTAAAAATTACATCAGAAGTTTAACAAAACATGCCAAGATGTGATAATAACATTTTATTTTATTAAATAATTAATGTAAACAGACAAATAAATAAAAATTATCGAATTGTATGTTATAATAGTAAATGAGCCGACACATCTGGGATGACAAATTCTTTTTTAGTGATTTGAAGTATATAGTATTTTATATTTAAAATAATGGATGATCAAAATGTTTAAGACAATTAATTAAAATGCTAAACCTTAAAAAGCTACTCCTAAATGAGAATGACGAGCGTGAACGTTCAAGATTGAAATGAAGGTTAATTAACGCTCTATATATGGTCGAAAAGGTTTACTGAACATTTTGGACCGTTGGAATGCGATTAGCTTGGAGCTGGTGTGGGTCATTAAACATCAATTGATTCGATATCAGCATTTTGAAAAATGTAGAGTACTTGGAGCAGTAGTGGTCGGTCACTATCGTGTGTTGGTACCTGGATACCGTTACAGTCACCGTTATATTTAAAAGTCATCATATATGTTACGTTCTGCCGTCGCTTCCGGCCAATATCGGCGATTAGCTACTGGTAGACGGTATCTAGGTAACGGGAGTCAATACTGAGGTATTATTGTTACTGTCTGACAGAGTAACAATATTGGCATCAGTTCCGATCAGGTCGGGGTGAAGGATTTACTGAAGTAAATCTATTCGAGGGCTATGTCAATCGATAAGAAAAAGTAATATTAGATATTGATAAAAAATACTTTTATTAGATTAATTATATAATATATTATCAAAATATTTTTTATCTAATCAATATACTATATATATTTTATTTAATTATAGGTCAAAGTTTGAAAGCGGATAACAAAAAAAAATCAAAACTGGACAAATACTCTAAGACGGATGTAGTAACAGAAATAGTAATTAGTGCATTAGTAATTGTTTATATCTGATGGTGAGATACATATTTAAAATATAATAATTAAACTAATTATTATTAACTTCCTCCGTTCCTTAAAACAGTTTCTCTTTCGTTTTTTTTGTTTTCCCTAAAACACTTCCTTTTTTGGAAAAATGACTCATATATCTAAATTAAATAATTGCAATATACTCCATTCAATTTGCATTGATATAATAAGTCATATTAATACTTTATCTCTCTTTTTTCTTTGACGATAAGCATATAATTAGAAGGTCAAACTATGAAAATAAATCTCTCCCAAGTCAAAAAAAGGAACTATTTTAAGGAACGGAGAGAGTATATTTTGTAAATTAGGCTATCTTTAATGTCTCACCACCGCTTACTCCAAATTAGCAATCACTTAACCTCACATCAGTACTGATTGTATTCCCAATCTCACTCACTTCACACCTGTAATGCCTCACCACCATTGCAAGATGAATAATTACCTATTTCTATACAAAATAAATTATAACTTTTGAAAAATCATAATATTAAATTTTTTTCTTAATTAATGTTTTTTGTAATTAACTTTATAAATAATTTTTTCGTAATTAGTTTTTTTCATTATTATTATTTTTTTCTTTTTTAGAAATAGTCGAAGAGGATATTTTGGTCATTTAGTGACAAGAAATGCTCCGATCATATTTAGGAAAAAATAATCTCTAATATTTCGCTGATATTCTACCACTAGTAAATTTCTCTTGATAGTATTCGAACCGTTATCAAAGCACGTACGTGAGTGAGAATGTAAGATTATTAAGCTGATTTATTGATTAATCGCAACGTACGCATGATATGGATATTTCTTCAAGTTAAGTAAGCAAGTAAATGTTCATTTAATGAGATTTTAATACAAAACCACTTCCCTTATATATATATATATATATATATATATATATATATATATATATGCCCCTATAGATATAAATACATGCATGCATGCATGATATGTTATGCTCATCATCACCATCACCATCATCCGGTTGATCAATTAATCATCATCATCAAGCTACAATCATTAAGGATGATGTATTCAAAATCCACCTCCCCATTCATCCCCAACCTCTTACTCACCATCATCTTCTGTGCAACAACAATGGCGCCCCATCTACAGACCGCCAGCGCTGGCCCTAAAAAGGTCGTGCGGATAACGGATTTGATCCCGACCCACAATTCGGTCCAGCCTCCGAAGGTACTGAACGTGCACTGCAAGTCCAAAGACGACGATCTGGGCCTGTGGACAATGACAGAGAACCAGTCGCGCGAGTTCCACTTCCGGGTCAACTACTGGTGGACCACTCTCTTCTGGTGCCGCTTTGACTGGGGCGACAAATTTGCCAACTTTGTCGTGTTCGACGCCAATAGCCGGGATGGGTACGATTGCAGGCGCGAGAGGTACTGCAATTGGCAGGTGAAGACCGATGGGTTTTACTTCGCCAAAGGGGAGTTTCCTAAAGACTCTGATTTTGTTCGGAAGGCATATTGGATGGACAAATAGAGAACTAGTAATAAGGGGTATAGTATAAGATCGATCTTCCTAAAATAAAGAGTGGATAGAATACAGGTGGTTAGTTGCCACTTACGTCTAGAAAAGTTTTCAAAAATTTGATCAGCCAAAATTACATGTAGTGATTTAAGGGCCCGTTTGGGAATACCGTTAGAGATTAGCGTTAGCGTTTTGGATAAAATTTTAACGGTGTAGATTGCTTTAAAAACGCTAACGCTGTCCGTCAATAACCTTTTCAAAACGCTAACGCTAATAGCTAAAGACAGGCCCTAAATGTGAGACTAATAGTTTCATTTTAATATGTACTCCAATATTTCAATTATTTTTACTTTGTATTGTATGCTAATGTTTTTTTGAAAGCGTATTATATTGTATTTTGCTGTTTCCGCTTCATAAAACGATTTAGATTTTGACTTTTATACGGAGTGTATGACAAGTAAGAAGTGTGTATTTGTTATTGATTATCCAATTTCACACCTGATGTGATTGTTAAAAGTAAGCTGTAATGAATAGATTATTATTGAAAAAAATGATGTGATAAGTGAGATAAGAAAAGTATGGATAAAGGGATTTTTTTGATAGAAAGCATAAGTTTTTTAGAAAAATCAAAAAAATTAAAGAAGAATTGTTTTAAGTTTCTGATTTCGAAGCACGAGTTTTATAGATCTTTGTGATTTTTTATTTCAAAAATACGGAGTAAATATGAACTCAGTGACATTTCTCCTTGGATTTTTTAAATTTTTTTAACAAGATCAAATCAGTTTCAAACAAATACTATACGCTTATAATAAATCACAAATTTTGTTTTATTGAAGCCCAATGTTTGTCTTATTTGGCTCTAAAATATCAAACGAAATAAATATAGGTATTTTTATTTCAACTCAATTCAGTAATCCATAGGTTTTAAATTAAAATGAAAACCACAAAAAAAAAACATATTGATTTCTAATCGACAGGTTTTTCATTTGAATACGGAGTATTTAATAAAAAAAGCACGGTAAAGCTTTTTAAAAAGCACTGTAGCACGGCAACGCAGAAGTAAAAATAACACTTCAACGCTAAAAACAACGGAGTTACTGCGGTAAGCCGGATAGAAATCACCCTAAATAGGATTAAAACATAGAGAAAAATACTAAAATAGGACTTTCATGTTTTTTTTCCCGAAATAGGACTTTGCACTGTGGTAATGTGACTTTGCACTGTGGTAATGTGGCAGTGTACATGTGCACATTACTATACTTTTTGGTAATGTAGATGACCATGTTTGGTAATGTAAGTCCTATTTCGAAAATAAAAATATAGAAGTCCTATTTTAGTATATTTACAATGTTTTAGTCCTACTTTAGTCTTTCTCCCTTCCAAGAACCTAACTATATATACAATACATTAAACCAATGAATTCCAAACAAACCAAAATCAAGTCTTTCCTTTTCATCTCTTCTCACCATCTGAATTTATACCTTCCAAAGTATGAATCTGCTAACTAGTTCTATCTCTACGGAGTACTCGCGCGATCGTATCATTTATGGATCGGAGTTTATTTTATATCAAAGTGAATAGATAAGAAAATAAATTAAAATAAATAAAATCTGATAGAATTGAAGTGGGTGTGAGAGTCTTGAGTTTGAGTCACCCTACCAACAAAAAATGGGGTGATTTCTTTGCATGTGTAAAGCTCTTGTATTTATTTTCTTTATATGTAACTCGAACATTCACTTTCTCATATAACGCACACCGGAGTAGCTTACTCCGTTTCATTTGAAATGTTTAGGTAGATAGAATAGGCTACTATGTTTCACCTATTTAATTTACGAGACGGAGTAGGCTTATTATTATTATTATTATTATTATTATTATTATTTATCAATTTCTCATATTTAGTTTACACACATGAAGAAACAAACAAAAAAGATTCTTATGCAAAACGAAGTAAAATCTGAAGTTTTTTTTAAAGTCATTTTACTTAAAGATTAATATACAAATAAAAATAAAGTTTAAATATTTAAAAAATACATCAAAACTTCTACGAAACAAGAATCAACAAGATTATTTTATTTCATCAGATAATCAATATAAACACACAAATAAATAAAAGATCTCGTGAAAATCAGCCCCATCTCGCTCGTGTCCACTCTTAGGTTCATCCTTAAGAAAAATAAAGTTTAATTTGAGTGGGTGGAGTACTGGTGTGCATGTGATAGCTAGTGATCGTGAATGAAATGGTTGAAGGAAAGAAGTGTGAATGTGGTAAATTAAAAAGGGTTGTGTGTGAAGTGGCATGGGCTTAATTACTTGCAGAACTAAAAACGGAATGGTTCGTTGGTCAGTGTTGTTGACTATATGAAGCCATCTTTTGCAAGCTTACCCAAACTCATGTTTGGCCTTATAAAAGGCATGTTTGAAAGAGACAAGAAGTTCCCCCCTACGTAGGTAAGAAAGAGGAGGGAGAGTAGAGGTGGTAATAGGATCAATCAGATTGGTTCCTCTTTGACATAATTCGGTTCAGATACAAGCTTAAGTTATAATTGGTTCGGTTGAATTTAATTCAATTCTACATATTTTCAGTTCCGGTTTGATTTAATTGGATTTAATTCGGTTACCAATTTATAAAAAATAATGAGATTTTACATTTTGTTCAGATATGGTAATTCATTTTGGGATATAAGAAGTAAGTAATACAGAGTACAAACATATGACTAGTTCAAATGGTAAAAAAAGAAAAAATTTGAAATTACATGAATGTATTTTTCACTAATGTACATAAATATAATATATTCATTGTAAGGTAGAATCATTTTTGAATATAATCGGTTTCAGATCTTATCGGTTTCGGGCCTTATCGGTTTTGGGTCATATCGCTTTTGTGTCTAATCGATTTCGAATCTAATCGATCGCTTGGAGATTTAAATAGAGTATGAATATATTTTGTTTGGTTTCGGTTTGGTTCGGTTCGTATAATTTTTGTTATTCAGTTATAAATCAGATCTTCACTTTTCGAGTCATTTTGGGTTCAGATCATTTGATTCGAGTAATCGGTTCTGGGTTTTCTTTTGCCAGGTTTAAGAGAGAGAGAGAGAGGGGCGCCAAGAGTGTGGGGGAGATGTAATCTACAGCTACGTACATACTCCATCCGCTCAACAAAACCCTTTCCCTTTCGTTTTTTTTGAATTTCTTAATGGTATGTTTGGGAATATGGATTTGGATTTCAAATCCGGATTTGGCTTAAATTCCATGTTTGAAAAACTTAAGCATTTTGAATTTGGATTTGTATCAAATTTTTTACATTCAAAATAAAGCTTAATTTGAAATTCATGCACCTCCCTTGTCATTTGAAATTCAGGATTTCAAATTTTGGAATTGAAATGCATGAATTGAAATGAAATGCTAGTTGCCAAACACTACCTAAAACATTTCGACTTTCTATTAAAAAATCACTTTTACCCTTATTTTTTCATAACCTACATATCACATTATACTTTTTTACTAATAACCAAACTATCACATCTTACTTTTACACATCACTTCATGGGCAAAATTGAAAAATCAACCAAAATTACATTTTTCTTATTTTTGCCAAAAGTCAAAATAAGAAGAATTTAAAGGAAGGGAAAGAGTACATTTTTGAAGGAAAATAGTCTACGCACACAAATACTCCGTACAAACGGCCGCACGTACATTTTTGAAAGAAAGAAAAAAACAGCAACATATAGCCCACAAGGCATAAACGTATGAATCTGCTGGTTCTCTTCCATCATCATGTCCACTTAGCTAGGCGCACAAAGTCCGAGTCTAAGGGGAACTCCCCTTTGGCGAAGTAAAAGCAGTCGGGCTTCACTTCCCAAGTGCAGTACCTCTCGTCCTTGCACCGGTCGGGGTAGGCGTTGTAAACCTCGACGGTTTGGGATTTGGTGCTGCCCCAGTCAAAACGGCACGAGAACGTACCCCAAAAGTTGACCCGGAATTGGATCAGGCGTATATCGTTCTCGTTCATCGTCCACACTCCAAGATCGTCGTCTGCCGATCGGCAATGCACGAGAAGTAAAAGCCGTCGGGCTAATATCCAGTTGGCAAGGCGCACAAAATCGGAGCCCAAAAGGAACTCCCCTTTGGCGAAGTAAAAGCCGTCGGTCTTCACTTCCCAAGTGCAGTACCTCTCGTCCTTGCACCGGTCGGGGTAGGCGTTGTAAACCTCGACGGTTTGGGATTTGGTGCCCCAGTCAAAACGGCACGAGAACCGGGTCGTCCCCCAGAAGTTGACCCGGAACCGGATGTAGCGCAGCTCGTTCTCGTGCATCACCCACGGTCCCAGATCGTCGTCTGCCGACCAACAATGCATCAGAAGTGGCTTCGATGGCTGGATTGGGTTGTGGGTCGGGATCTTATCCCGAATCCGGACAACCTTCTTTTTGTTCGCGCTGGCGGCCTCTCCGTGCTGTGCCCAACAGATGATGACGAGGAAGTAGAAGATTAACACTATGTTTGGTTCAAGGAATTTGAAAGGGAAAAGAAAAGAAAATGAAGTGGAAATCACTTTTTCTTGTTTGATTCTGGAGGAAAAGAAAGAAAAAATGGGAGGAAAAGAAAATGAGAAGGCAAAATGTACTAAGTGGATGAAAAACCAAATTTCTTCCATTTTGGCGAGGAAAATGAGAAAAAATCGTTTTCTTTTCTTTTCCTTCCAAATTCCTTGAACCAAACATAGTGTAAGAGCTTCATGGGTATGAATGGACATATTGATGATGATGAGGAGGAGGAGGAGGACGAGGATTATACGGGGTACTTCAGAAGTAAATAGTGTCAAATTCTGGGTTTTGATGAACTTGCTGTACTTTTAAATTCAATAAACTATGGGAAATGAAGTAGAGAGAGAGGGAGAGGGAGAGAGAGTGAGAGCTGGCATTGAAATGGAATTTTACCATATATATATATATATATATATATATATATATATATATATATATATATATATATATATATATATATATATATATATATATATATATATATATATATATATATATATATATATATATATATATATATATATAAATATAAAGAACCTCTACGCACCGTGATATTATGGGGCTTCGAAATTAAAGAGCTTTGATGAGTGGCCATTTAATTTCTTGCCATTTACGGCAAAGGGTTTCTGTCCCTCTAACTTTACCCAATTGCCTTGAATATAAAAAATTTAAAGATTTTTTTATATTTAAAAGATAAATATATTTAAATACCCCCTCCCTCCTAAAATTAACTTCCATTTTTGCAGTCAAACTTTTTAAACTTGACTATAGATTAAAAAAATACATTGAATTTTCATATAAATTTATTAACAGTAGATTCATTTTACTTTTCACGGTATCCAATATGTACAACACTTTGATTATTAATATATCTATAAATATATATAAATATGTACTATAGAAATAAAATATTTCAGAATCATATTTCAAAATGAATCTATTGATTTTATATTTATATAAAAACTCAATGATGTCCTCGACGACCTGCAGCTTAACCCAACTCTCCCGGCCAGATTTTATGATTGATTTCTCCTCGATCTATTTGTATATATATGAAAAAGAAAACCCGGCCAGTTTTTATATCACTACTTTCTTGATTTAAAAAAAGAATTGTACTTTTAAATTTAATAAACTATTGGGAATGAATGAGAGAGAGAGAGAGGGAGAGAGCTGGCATTGAAATGGAATTTTACCAGATATGATGAACCTCTACATACGCACTTGATATTATGGGGCTTCGAAATTAAAGAGCTTTGAGTGGCCATTCAATTTCTTGCCATTTACGGCGAATGGTTTCTGTCCCTCTAACTTTACCCAATTGCCATGAATGTAAAGAATTTCAAGATTTTTTTTATATTTAAAAGATAAATATATTTAAATACCCCCTTCCTCCTAAAATTAACGTCCCAGTTTGACTTTTGCAGTCAAATTTTTTAAATTTTGAACCGTAGATTAAAGAAAAAATACATTGAATTTTTATATAAATTTATTAGCAATAGATTCATTTTGGAATATAGTTTTGAAATTTATATATTGTTAAACTATATTTATATAAAATTTAATTTATTGATGGTCAAAGTGTCGCATTGGAGACCGTGAAAAGTCAAATGGGAAGTTAATTTTAGGACGGAGGGAGTAGTATATAATTTTTAGTATAACCAATATATGATGATATCCTTCAATAGAAAATACATGGTTATTTATGTAAATATATTTTTTATTAAATTCTAAATTTAATCAACAATGCACACAAAATATAGGTTTTGAGAATTTTTCAGTTTTAATCAATAATAATTCATTCATGAACAAAGTGTTTAGCTTCAAACTAGCACGTCTACTTCAGGCATCAACTACAACATGAAATTTGGGCCTACCATACTGGCTATTTATGCTAGGACCACAATCATGTTTATTTTCGTTCGCAACGTAACCATTGTTGGAGAGAACACTAGCAACATAGCAATAATCATATTGGTCATGTGGTGTCACTTTATAATTAGTCATATGATAAATGTTATATGAATAATTTACTTAAATAAGATTGAAACATAATGACTTTCCTAATATAGGACCATATGTTTCTATTTTTCAATGTAGGATTTTTGGTCATTAACAAGTAGTCATTATTCAAGTAAATGTTCATCATTACTGGACATTATTCCTCCTACTAAGACATTAATAGGTCCTATTTAGAGAATAAAAAAGTTTAAGTCCTAGATTAGGAAAGACATTATGTTTTAGTCCTATTTAGTGCAAATTTCACTTATATATGTATCTTTTTTTAGATCGATCACCAAAATCAAGAATTTGATACTCCCTCCGTCCCTAAATAAAGTTTCATTTTTGACCTTTTGAGGATTTAAGGGAGGGATATTTTGGTGTTGACTTTCCAAAAATACTCTTGATGTGATGTGTTAAAGTAAGATGTGATATGTAAATTATTAGTAAAAAGGTATGATGTGATAAGTATGGTATGAAAAGGTAAGGGGTAAAAGGGGTTTTTTTAAGGAAAACGAGAAGTTTATTTAGGGACAAAGAAAAAACGAAAGAGGAACTTTATTTAGGGACGGAGGGAGTATCTTTTTTCTTTTTTTGAATGAAAAGAATTTGATACTAAGAGATTGAAATTCATCATATATAACTTTTTTTTCTATCCCCAAATTAAAAGATATAATAACACTGATTTGATGAGTTATTTCAACATTAAGAAGAGTGCGTGGCATCACATTATTTTTCCATTTCATAACGGCTCAAATTGTAATTTGGGAAAATTTTTTGCCCGACTACGAATATGCTATTTCTCATATGAAGGTCCATCTCGTATCCAGTTAGCCAAGGCGCACAAAATCGGAGTCCAAAGGGAACTCCCCTTTGCCATGCAAAGTAAAAGCCGTCGGTACATCTTCACGTGCCAATACATTGTGCATGATGACTTTGACGAATTGGAATATATGGATAAGTGTTGAAACAATAGACTTGAACCCAATTCAACCCCAAAAGTTAATCAAATGGTTGAGGTACCTAAGCTATTAGATAGCAGCACAATATAAGGTTACATTGCCGATGTGAGATGAACAAGTCAACACGCCCCCCTCACACGAGGCGCAGATTATTGCGGGCGAGGTCCCAACATCAATGACTTAGCTCTGATACCATGTTGAAACAATAGACTTGGCCGCAATTCAACCCCAAAAGTTAACTCAAGAGGTTGAGGTACCCGAACTATTAAATAGCAGCACAATATAAGGTTGCATTGCCGATGTGGGATGAACAAGTCAACAATAAGTAATACTCCATCCTGAAAGATGAGTTCTAGCCGTTCTAATAACATAAGTGCGGTGTTGCATAAATATTTGAGAAATTTACTTAAATAGCACTAAAACATAATGACTTTTTCTAAATAGCATCATATGTATTTTTCTTCCTAATGTAGCACTTATAGAGTTATAGTCATTATCCATTAGTCATTATTCAAATAAATACTCCGTATGTCGCATAGACACAAAATGTATGTGTGTATACGGAGTATTTGTCATCACTGGATATTATGAACATAAGCAAGTACTATTTAGAGAATAAAACAAAATTAAGGGGCTGTTTGGCAACTTCTTAATCGGTAAGTGCTGAACCAGTAAGAGGTCTGAACCGTTAAGTGCTGAACCAGTAAGAGGTCTGAACCATTAAGAGCTAGTATATTGCTTAACTATTCAGAGGTAAATGTCTGATCAATTCAGAAAAGCGGTCTTAACCATTCAGACTCTATATAATACTTAACCATTCAGAGGCAAATCTCTTAACCATTCAGACATCTGAACCATTAAGAGGCTGAAACAAACAGTCTGAACCATTAAGTGCTGAACTATTCAGACATCTGAACAATTAAGAGGCTGAAACAAAAAACCCCTAAGTGATATTTAGGAAAATGACTTAAGTTTTAGTGCTATTTAGTACTCCCTCCGTTTGGAAAAACCCTTCTCACTTTGATTTGGGGGCAAAAATAAGGAAGTGTTAAATTATAGTTGATTTCCAATTTTGCTCCTGATGTGATGTGTAAAACTAAGATGTGATGGATAGATTATTAGAGAAAAAATATGATATGATAATTAGGGTATAAAAAAGTAAGGGTAAAAGTGGTTTTTTAATAGAAAGGAGAAGTGTTTTATTGGAAGTGGAAAAAATGAAAGAGGAAGTGTTTTTGAGAACGGAGAGCGTACAATATTTCTAAATATTATCCATACTTTATTTTTAAAGTATATCCCACATCTCAAAACTGAATAAAAAATAATCAATAATTTCCTATCTACCAGGGTTCAATTGCCTAATCCATCTGCTGCTAGAAAAATCGAAAGGAAATTTGTGGCAAAGTGAAAGAAATGCAAGTTACACCAATAATATAATATGGTAATTGTGAAGTTAATATAATTATTATTTTTATAATCACGGTAAAAAATTAATATTTTTGTAAGTGTCTAAAATTATGATATTAAGCACGCTATTAATGATATATAATTAATTACCGAGTCAAATTAATTATAGTAAATTTAATTAAAATTGTATTTTATGTGTGATTACCGTATCAAATTAATTATAGTAATTAAATGTTAGTTACCGTGTCAAATTAATTATAGTAATTTTAATTAAAATTGTATATTACGCTATTAATGAAATCTAATATTACGTGTGACTACATAATTGTATATTAGTTACCCTGTCAAATTAATTATAGTAATTTTAATTATTGTAATTTTATAATGTCTATATTTTAATTATAGCATCTATATTTTATAATGGCTATATTTTACTATATTTTAATTATAGTAATTTTAATAAAAAAGTTAATAATTAACCAAGATATTAATTGTATGACCGTGTGACTAGATAATTGTATACTCCGTATTAATTACCGTGTCAT